CCTCTCTAAACAGTTGGCCCGCATGCAGCTGTATATGGACAGCATGCAGGCAGCTTACTACTGCACCCCGGTCAGCTGCCAGCCGTCACTTGCGGAGGAGGACAGGCGAGCCCAGGGGGCACCAGCCCACGCACCGGACCCGGGCGCGGCCAGCAGGCGGGTGGCCGTTCCGGACCCCGGGCACTGTCCTCAGCGGCAGCAGGCTCCAGTTGCCGCGGGCACAGCAGCCGCGCAGCAGGGTGCCGCGCGTTCCGGGGGCGAGCCAGTTTCACCTGAGCCGGCCGAGACCAAGGGAATGGTCAACAGCGGGGTGCGCGGTGCCAGTGGGGTTGTACGGTCACCAGTGGATTGGACAGCAGCCTTTCGGCCAAGGCGGCGGCCCGTTAAGCGCTCAGACCGTGCGGACCCTGTCCCAGCGACTGCCAAGCTCGAGGGCACGGCCATGGCGGCCCCCAGTACCCCGAACGCTGCCCCCACCGGCATCTGTGCCAGGGAGGAGCAACGGGAGGCACCAGCGGTCCCTCCAGCTTCAACGGCATCTGGCGGCAACACGATGGGTCAGCGGCAGCCGGAGGTCCTTTTCGGTGAGGAAACGAGCTTGGAGGACAGCGAAAAGAGGGCGGATATGGTACTTCTGGCGGAGTCAGCGGGGCCACGCAAGGGGCTACGGCCTCCCTCGCCCACATCCGCCGGCATGGAAGCTAGTGGCAGCTCCGGCAACGGCGATGACGATGGCAGAGATGTCGGCTCCAGTGCAGGGCTGCCGATAGGAGGCGAGGACACGGGCGGGGCTCGAGAGGCCCCACCTCCCTGTTCGGGCTCTTCTGGCTCTGGGGAGGCGGGCGGCGCCGTGCCAGGTCGCGGATGCGGCACAGACCAGGGCAGCGGCAGGCAGCAAGCCACTCCGGAGGACACTGGCGTAGCCTCGGACCCCCTTCGGAGGCGCCCGACCCCAGCTGTGGCAGTGGTTTCGGGTGAGCCCGCTGGTGGACCGGCAGCAGGGATAGAGGAGGCGGGCAGCGGAGCAGGGGCTCGCAGCAGTCCTTCTACCGCTCTTAGTTGTGGGCGTGGAGTTCTCGAGGGCCCTTACAGCGACGTTTTCGGTGTCAGCCCTTACGCGGTCGCAGCCCACTACTCCGTGATGGGGGAGGGTAGCGACACGCGACCAGCACGCGACGGCTGGGTAGGGGCTCCTGATGGGGTGGCGCCGGGTGGAATGGAACAGGTGGAGGCTCCGACCCTTGGCATCCAAGCAGCGGGCATGGAAGCTTCCGTTCTGGAGGGAGAGCCCAGCCCAGCGGAGCTCTGGCGCATTACATCCTGTCCACCGCCGGGAGGTGGCTGGGAGAGCCAGGCAACCCGACAGCCGACTGACTTCAGGGCATCAATGAAGCTAAGACTGGATCAGGAGTCGCGGGATGGTACAGCCAGCAACGTGGGGCCTCACCACAGTGCGGGGGAACCCCCGCATGGCCGTCCTCTTGATTGGAGCGGGGATTCGCATCACCGCCGTAACAGCGTTTCATCGGACTTTGTGCCTGCCAGCAGTTGGCAAGTATCACGGACAGCCGCCGCTCGCATGGACGATGCGGTACCCAACCCTAAGACTCAGTACCAAGGCGAACACACAGGCACAGCGCTAGAGGAGGCAGTGGCAGCATCTGCAGCGCTCAGGCCTAAGGGACAGCTGCCAACGGCGTGGGAGTCAGCCACTTCGGCTGCTGGCAGTCCAGCCAGCCCGCAGGGTGAGTGGAGCGCCGCGGATTACCGGGATGAGAGCTGGAGCTTCGGCAGCAGCCTTCATGACATTAGCCAGGACCTTCAGCCCGGCTTACCGTGCGCGGTTGGGCTGACGGTGGCTGGCATGATGGGCATTGACGGGCGGCCGCTCAGTGCCCCGCTGGGACATGTGCTGGACGGGGCGCGTGGCCCCACTGGCCCGGGTCCCGGCGGCCGGCATGGGAAGCCGGGACGTAACGCTGGCGTTCTTAAAACCGAACGGCTATTTGAGGACGTGAACCTCAGGGGGATGGAATGACGTCATCTACGGACGGAGTCATCTCGCCTGTGTTTCAAGCCGCATACATCAGCGGTGGTTCATGCATCGAGGCGGGGGAAACCAAAGCCTGCGGCCCAACGCTCAGCAAGGACAACCCTATGGGGCGCAGCTGAACTACAGACAGCCCCAACGGGGAGGCGCTGGCAGCGGTCTAGGCGGTTAGGCATTTCCACCCCTACGTGTACAGTACCGGTTATGCATAAGGCAGGGCGCCGGGGCGGCAATGTGGACGGCCTCAGCCGACTATTAGGCCATCTGTTGGCAGCAGCCACCGGTGAGTCCAGCCTTGCCGCGGGGGAACCCCCGGCGGCGGGGCCCAAGCCCGAGGGGCCCGAGATGCTGAGCTATGCCCCGCCAACGGTAACGCTGGCGCCGATGGCATTGGGCGCCCTCTTCGGTGGATTTCCCGGAGGGGAGGGGAGCAGCGGCACGCCGGGCACGCCGGGTTTTGTTGAGGGGGCTTACCAGGGGCTGGTGCTCCGAGACCTCATTGAGGCAGTCTATACGGGGGCGCTGGGTCCCCCGCTGGCAGCTCATCTGGCGGCGCAGGTGTGCGCCCAGACTGCATGGCAGCAGCCGGAGGAGGTGCCGGGGCTGACGGCGCTGTGCGGCCAGCCGGTGGCCCTGCGCAGCCGGCGCCAGGCCATGTGGCTCGCTGGCCGGGTGGCGGTGGCGATGCTGCAGCCGGCCAGCGTGCAGGGGGCGATTCGGCAGGCGGCGCCGGCAGCAGCAAAGGAGGAGGTGACGGCGGGGGAGCTCCGCCCCACCTAATTGAAGAGGATTGCTTTGGGGGTGGTGGTTAGCCCGTACAGCATCTCCTGGGCAGCTTTACCCGGCGCAGGAAGAGCGGGCTGGGACCGAGAAGCCGTTGGCGGTGGTTGCGCTGGGAGGCAGCAAGGTCAGCCTAGCTACGGGCAAGGTCAGGGAAAATGCGGGATCAGGAGGCTGGCAGTCGGCTATGGGGAAGAGAGGAGTTGGTCAAGGGCCATGGGAGGCAGGGCTAGGAAGGGCGCATGCGCTCGACCCTTCCTAGCGGGCTGCCCGGTGACAGGCAGCGGCGCGGGGGAACGCCACAGCTGTGGCAGCAAAGTGGGGCTTTGAGCTAAGGTGTTGGGATACGGATTGTTGCGATAGGGCCGCGTCGCGCCCTGACCGGCAAGAGGGATCGGCAAGCGGTCGGTCGCCTGCGCCGGAATAGCCGCGAGTGGCGTCAGTAATGTATGTTGTATTGAACTAGACTTGTTGGACTAAAAGAGAGCAAGGGAAGACGGCGCGACGAACCATGGGTCCGGCCGCGAGGAATTGCTGCCGCAAGAGCTACTTACTTTACATGAGCCTCGTCGGTACCTGTACTCGTAGCGCGTAATTGACTCGCTGTTACCTTTTCTATTTACCAGTAACGGTTGGATTACTAATAACGTAACGGCCGAGCGAAGCGAGGCCGTACTGTTTGCGATGGGATTGTGGTACGAAGCCTGATGACTCAACAGGGGTTTTGGTATTTCCTGGTAGAGGGGCCCCTGATATAGCTGTTTGCCTTGTTGGATAGAGGATCTGAGGCTGTTCTTGCTGCGCATAGGGAATAACCCTCCGAGGGTTTGTGCCAGTAAGTGTTTCAGTCTGGTTGACGTCATGCTGACATCACGATGACGCTATGACTGTGCAACGTTGTCACTCTAGGGAGGGTCCCTGCCTTCAGTATAAATACCGGGGCCTTTTCCGGGGTTGAGAAGACCTGTTAGAGACCTATCCGTGGTCGTACCTGTGCAGGGCTATCCGTCCTTGTGTCCAGGACTATCAGGCTTCCAGGAACGGGCCTGTAAACCCGCTTTGAACAGGCTATAACACTTGTAAGGTCAGAGCATCTTCAAGTGCTACGCCGTCGTGTCTCCCAGGGCTTCGCCGGCGCCTTCCAGGCTTCCAGCCGCCCGGACTGCAAGCGCCAAGCCCAGAACCGGTTAGGGCTCAGCTTCGCTAGTCCCGTACTGCTACCACAGTAGCCAGACCTGAGGCGAGGGCCGTAGGCCCGAGCCCTGCACTCAAACACCGCAGGACTAGGCTTTGTACCTATTCCTAGCCCCAGAAACGAGCTTGGACGCAGTAGTTAGCTTTTGCCGTACACGTTGCCAGGCGTTGGGCAGCGCAAGGGCACTGCACACAGCCGCTAGTGCGCCGTAATCAGTCAATAGCCTCCGCCGCGCCACGCTAGGCTAGGACGGTAGCAGCGCAGTGCAATCGTCTCCATACGGGCACTGCGTGGGGTCGTACAGCACTAGCACCCTGGGCACAATAGCCGACGGCCAGCAGCATCAGTTCCTTAGGGGGTTACACACTCACAAAAATTTTCGTCAGGATGGTGTACTGGTCGTAGGGCGTTCCCTCGCCACAGCGTTATGTCCTTTTTGTACCGTGTCGGTGTCCTATGTGTATCCCTGTACATTATGTATGTACCTGCACCGAGGTCGCATATTCGGTCGGACAAGGTGTCATTGTATGTGTTGTTGTTTTTTGAACATAACGGCATGTCGAAAAATAAAAGAGGCTCAGAGTTGAGAAGACGACCCACATGTCGTACATAGCGGCGCTGTTGGAAAGTTCGTGTAGATGATTCGTTATCTACATAGCAATGTCATTGTATTAGGGGTGTTTCTATGGGCTTAGGTTTGGTTTCGGACCGATCCTACACTCCCAGAAAGGCTCTTAGTTGAGATGGTGCTCAAACGCTTGAGATTGATTGAGTCGAGTTGAGTCTACTTGAGCTTGGTTGAGGCTGCTCTCAAGTTGTTGAGTTACCATACTCTCAAGGAACCTCAACCAGGAAAAAGCCCCGCCCGGTGTAATTTGCTTCGTTGAGTACCGGTATGTAAGACCTATTGAGCTCAAACAAAGTTAAGCTCAATATGACAATGAATGTATATATATAAACAGTTATGAGCTTGTCCTTAAAGTAACGATGCCCTAGTTATCCGGCTGTCCTTGGCCTTTGACGGACTATGCCCCATGATCCATGTGTCCGCTACGTGCCTGCACAACATGCCCCGTTACTGGTAAGCCTTGCTCTTTTACTTCACACATCACACAACCTTCTTAAGCTCACGTTACATAGATACTGTCTCTCCTCACCGAAAGCATTGCCTCAATCACCTCGCTCTCCCAACACCTCGACTACTTCTTACAAGGCATTTCAACACTAGGAAGCAACTTGCGATGAGTTAACTGTTACACGTTAAGAAGCGCGTGTGATGTCGGAGACCAAGCCACCATGGCCGCGTCTGCTTCGCGACGGGCTCGCTGCTCAGCATGCAGATGGCTCATTCTCGTGTACTAAATGCAATAAAGTATTTCACAGCAAGTATTTTTACAAGCACAACTGTTCCCTAGTCCACGTGCCGCTGGAGCCGTCATGTGTGGACAGCGACCTAACATGCAACACAGATTATGCTTCCTGCTTGGATTTACTAGGCGATGCAGTCGCAGATAAGCTTCTTGCATACCAACGTGACCTGGCGCAACGCTCAGTCCCGATGATGGCGCGCACCAAAGACCTCAGGGCCGTGCTCATACAGCTGCGCATACCATTTGCCGATGCCGTTTTCCCACAAGGTGAATCGACTAATACATCCGCGCTGTTACTCTTTACGGTTTTGCGCCGTGCTTCAACTCCATTCCTTATGTGTTTCCACAGGCCAACCCTCCCCGCCGCCTGCTGCTGACAACTCGCCTCTTCCTAACAGCCCCATGCTAGTGGAGACACGCTCCCCGCAGTCCCAGCCTTCACCGATGGACGTCAACAGCCCAGAGGTAGAAATGCGCTCTCCCGCTAGCGACCCATCCAGCAGTGCGTCCCCCAACGTCTCATCCACGTCTAATAACGGAAGCGAGGCCGAAAGCAGTGGTTATGACGACCACGGTGAGTGCGACTGGTACTGTACATGTCTTCCTTGCAACCCGTTTTGCTCGGGCACCTTTATTTCCCATGCATGCATCATGTCCCTTGCGAACTCCTGCCCTTACCGTTCGAAACTGCTGTGGCAATGCACCATAGTACCTAACCTCCCCTTACCGTATGTGCCCTCCAACAGGGGCAAGCCATTCTACTGTTAGCGACAGCGTCGACGGGGATGGCAGCGAGGATGGCTCGCATGGCCGCAGCAGTCCCGGTAGCATGCAAGGAGGTAAGGAACAGCCAGTGCGGTTTTGAACTAGGACGTGTCTCGTCTCCATGCTCGTAGAATCTCATGGCATTGTCGTACTTAGCAGGAGCTAGCCATTCCACGGGTACCAGCGGCGGCAGCGGCAGCAGAGGTGGTGACAGTGGCTCACTCCATGACGACAGCTTGCTTGGCGGTGCCAGCGATGGTGGGGATGGCAGTGATGGCCGCAGCGACCATGCTGCTAGCATGCTGGATGGTAAGTTGTCATACTCCGGTGCCTGTCGGGTTCATCCTCTTTCCGTGTTCAACGTAACCCGTGTTTCCTTCATGTCCAGAGGATGACCCGAACACGCTGCTTGGAGAAGACCTCCTCGACCAAACCGGAACTGATGACGACGGTAGGAAACCAATACCCATCGCATCCCCACCTCCATGCCTATGTACGCCATGAAGCCGTACTCTCAAACAGCCGTTCTCCTGTGACCGCAAGTTACTGACACCTAATTCGCACACACATTAACACGTCGCAGGTCTTTCTTCCGTCAGCAACCAGTCGGAGGACCTCAACCTGCCAGGCGAGGTCGACCCTTACGCGTACATTCGCAGTAAGTTCATGTGCAAACCATGTGTCAGGGGGCATTGCAACCGTTCTAGTCCAAGTCGAATTGCTCAGTGTCGTACTTATTTTCCAAGCCCTTGCCTGCGTGTACCCAATTCCGTCCTAAGCAACCTGTTCCCACGACCGCAGGGATTCTGGGTCTTGACCATGCGCCGGAGGGGGGGGCTGGCGTCGAAACCCACCCCGCGGCTGCAGCCACTGGAGGGGACCGCTGTGCGTGTGGTTGCGGCGGCCCACCAATTAAGCCAGGCGGCATCAGCTGGTTCCGCCACGGCCTCGGTCTCCCCGTTTGCAAGGGTGCCGATAGAGACGGTGCGCCGAACCCTAGTACCGTAACTACCCGCGAGTTCGTCGCGGCTCTCCTGCAATTCCATCTGCGGAACCACATTCCCACAACGGTCATGGAGACCTTGCTACGCTTGTTTGCTAGCGTTGTCCCCGGTCCGCACTTCATTCCTCCTTCACTGTACATGCTGTCACAGCTCGCCGGTGTCCCTGACTGGCACCAGTTCCAGCAGCACCTCTGCTCTACCGAGGGTTGCCCTGGCCATGTATTTGAGCCAGAGCCAGATCCCGCCAAGTGGGAGCAGCTACGTGACGAGTGCTGCCCACACTGCCAGACACCGCGCTTCAAGTCCGTTTACCTTGGGAGGTGAGCATAGTTCGGCTGTTTCAGACTCGTATACTGGTCTCCAGCGCAAGCAGGCCTCTTGCCCCGTGCTTCGTACCCTGCTGTTTGCTCACCGGGAACTATGGCGAACCCGTGCCTGCTTACCTTATTACAGGCAAGGAGCGTCTTGAACCCCGGCGGTGGTCCATCGACTTCGGCCTGGAAAATATTATCCGCGAGCAGTTTTCCAGTCCGAGCTGCACAACCAGCAGCGCGGGCGATGCCGGGATTGCGGAGAGGACAGCAATGGCAGCAGCTACTACAACGGTCAGTCCCTAAGCGACTCTAATGCATTGCTTGTATGCATCGGTGCCTTCAACCCTAGGCTTAGCTCGCATGAATCGTAACATGCACGCAATGCTACATGCATGCAACGCTACATGCGTCACTTCCCTTGTCATTGCGTCTAGTTGTGACGCAGCTGTGTCCCTCGGCGCCGTTTCCCCACCCCTTACAGCTCCGGCCTTTCGTAAACTGGCTCTCGCCACCGACCACGAGGCCCAGAAGGCGACGGCCTCGACCTATGACCTGTTCTTCGACTTCCTAGAGCCCTTTAAGGGGAGTCCTTACTCGGTCGGAGTGCTTGCGGTTCGTGCGTGTGATGTGGCTGCCAGGGACAAGGGGAAGTCGCAGTTTGTCGCCATATTATCCATCATACCCGGCCCCAGGCAGCCTCCCGTACTCACTCCCTACCTCACTCCCACAATAGACGCCTTCCGCCATCTATTGACAAACGGGATGGGCGTAACGCAGTCCTGGCGAGACAAGCTCAGCGGTAATGTCGTCAGCGAGTCATTCGTACACAGGGGCTTTCTATCCGCCGTGCTGGCCGACACACCCGCGCGCATCAAGTGCGCCCTTCTCGCGGGTGTCGGTTCCTACATAGGCGCGTGTAGCTACTGCTTCTTCCAGGGCACGTATGTCCGCAAGCCCGGTGCCAAGGTCGGGGCCATGCGCTACCTTGGTTACGAGCAGCCCGTGCCGCAAACAATCAGGTACGCCGGCGGGGGTCTAGCACGCAGGATGTTTGTCCTCTGCTTCGTTGCTCTATTGACATGTCCCGTAGATTGCCATCATTTGGAACAATTTAATGACCCATGGGTCCATGCCGTTTCGGTTTGGCCTCTATTAGGTTTGGCGGGGAGCCGATGCTGGTAGGGGACCATCGCCTCCTGCTAGACGACGCAGGACAGCGGCAGCGTGCTCGGCGTGTGGCGGCCCGCGCCTCAGCGGCTCTGGCTGCCCGTGGTACTCCCGAGGCCGGTCCTTTGCGCAAGAAGCTCGAGCTTTCCATCAAGCACCATGGCTGCAAGGGGGAGTCTGCCTTCACTTCCCTTCCGTATGTCAACATGCAGGACCTGTTCCTCGTGCCCGTCGCCCATGCCCTTCTCTATGGCGTTGTCGCTAACTTCTTCGATGATATCTTCCGGAAGCCAGCTACGGATGAGGAGAAGGAATTCACAGTGGCAGAGCGTGACATCCGCTCCATCAGGGAGAGATCGTCGCATATCACGGTATCCTCCGACTTCGGTCGCGCATACCGTTGTATCATAGTGCACAGGTCAGAATCACAGGCATTAGTGGAAGTGTATACTTTGTTTAGTAGTGCCGACACGGGCAAAGGTCGCGCGCCTTGAAATTTGGTGGACCTAGCGTGCAGCTGTGTTAAGCATGTGCTGTAGTCATTAGCCATCTCCTATCTACACGAGTACGTGTACGACATCCCCGTGGTGCCTGTGTTTGTATCCGCATTGCAGGGGCGGGTACCTGCTGGAGGACTGGCTGCATTTCTGTGAAACCTTTTCGCATTACATCTTCCGGGATGTAACGCGGAATGGGATCAAGTCACCTGTTCTACCGCCGCCAGTCCGGGAGATGTGGCAGCATCTGCAGGCTGCAGTTGGTCACTACTTCAGGCCGCTGCACTACAAGACCCGTGCCGACTTTGTTGCCGCCTCCAGGGCGGCGCACGAGAGCCTCGTCCAGTTTGCGAAACTTGCGGAGAGGCGTGGCTTCCCCGGTCACACCTTCTCGGTTAACCTGCACATATGCATTTGCAGGTACGAAGTTGGTGGTAGGCACTACTCGTGGCGGTGTAACTTGCATTTAGCTCTATGTCCATTCTCGTGGCTGCCGTGCGGGGGTTCTTTTTGCGTCATTAGTGACGGCCCTTATCAATGGTTTCCGTTCATTTGCAGGCTGCACCTACAGGAGAAACAGCGTGGGGCGGTTGCCGCGGACTTGGAGTTTGCAGTGGAGCGCGTGATGCAGCGCTTCAAGCACATTGCGGGGTCTCATGTATCAGCACGGATAGAAGCTCGTTTCGCCAAGCAGCTGCTGCTGGGGCTTGCCCTCGACCGTGTAGCGCGCGAGAACCCCAGCATGCGTACCTTAGACGACATCCTAGGTATCCAGGAGCGCAAGTACAGCGGGCCGCATTACGACAGCGACGATGGATCTGGGGTCCTCCTGCGCGGAGCAGGTATCCACTTCTGCTGTTTTAACGTCTCCATTCGACCGCCTAGCGGCGCTCGAGGGGGTGGCAGCCATTGCGGCGCGGTAAAGACCGGTAAAGACCAATCGACATTGTCCCTTCCTTGCAGCACCGTGTACTCCCTCCGCTGTGCTTTTCCACCATGACCCTTACACAAGCAAAGCCTAGAGTTCGGAAAACGTCCCTCTGCCAGCATCGCAACCTTGCAGTAAGGTCCTCGCCCGGATTGTGGGCTCTGAGCATGCTTGCAATAAAGCCCAGGATTATGGGCTCTGAGCATGCTCGCGATTTCGGCCCAGATTATGGAATCGTGGGCTCTGAGCATGGTCCGAGCATGCTCAGAGCCCATGGCCAGGGCTCCATGCGCAAGGGACGCATTTCCAGGCATTTAACCACTGCACTGGATAGGTTAACGTTGTCGTTTAGCTATGCAGCAACCATATGGGGCATTAAACAACCCGGGCCCCACCCAGGAACAACGAGCCCAGTATAGGGGCTCCATGCTCAAGGCGTGCCACCCGGCATCCATATCGCGCCACAGTCACGGCTACGGGCTCCCCATACATAGGCCATGAGGTGGCTGAGAGCTGGAGTCGGTGTCAAGTCATATGCATGCGTGGCCAGCACCGGTTTGCAACCTTTGCACCGCCATTAAGCAAACTCGCAACCGAGCTAGTGGCTCGAGAAACACCAACCTTTGGACCCTTACACTGCAACAACCAAGCAAACGCGCCGGGAGAAGTTAATTGGGGGAATAAATCACCTGGGTCCCTAACGCGCTCACCGTGCCTTCCGTACCAGACTAAGCTGCTAACTCTACTAACCAATGGCATGGTCGCGGACCCAATCTGCGTGGGCATGTTCCTACCCTTAGCCCATGCAGAGACAACCCCCGGCAATCGACCCAAACCAGACAACAATGAAGGGCGGGTGGGTGAAGCATAGAAGAGGTGGGAAATAGCTCTTTCAATCTATTTCCCGTTACGTTCTTTCCGCCGGGCAGCAAAGTCAATGATGAACATGGGGAAATTGCCAGCAACAGCGTGCAGACTGGCCAGGGGTTCGCTAATTGGAAGTGCCTGGACTGTCCTTGCGGCGGTTTTCACGACAAGAATGACCTCAGACCTTCATGAAGACAGTTGGGGGTCTTATTTACATCATAAGAAAGCTGTTTAAACAGTGTTTAAACATTTCTTGGCTGCGTTGGGGGTGGGTGGGTGGTCAATTGACGTGGGGGAGGTTGGTTCGCTGGGCGCATAGCAAGGTACACCCGGAGTCTAACATGCTCTTCACTGCGCTGGACGTGGAGGTGCTCATGAGCATTCCTGCCAAGCTGGGTGCTGAGGTAGCACCTGGCCTCGACGACTCAAGCGATGTTGAAGATGAGGAGGCGGCAACAGTGTGGGAGCCGTGCAAGTTCTACGCAGCGTCACCTACCGTTAAGATGGTTCGTGGTGCGACGGAGATTGGTGTGTTGGGCAGAGACTGGCAGGGGATTCCGGAAATGTACTCGCGGTTGCATATCCAAGGCCATGTAATTGAGCCCACGGGAACCTTGGTGCAAACAGTTTCCATAGGGCCTGTGAAGTTGTCGGCTAAAAATGGTTTTTGCTGAAGCCGGCGGCAGGAAACACACTCATGAAGTTTGGGAAAGTAGTTCAAATCCTGCATCACAAGGGCCCTGATGGCGTGGAGCGTTGCTTAGTGGAGGCGGATTGGTACACAGCGACGTCTCAGGGGCGTCAGGTTGACAGGGAGGTGCGATGCCCCATTGTTAGAAACGAAGTTCGGGGTAGGTCATGGTGCCTCGCCACGGAGATTGTCCCTTGGGCCTGCTGGGGTATTCTTGACACAAGAGTGGAGGGGCAGATTGTGATTATGGCTAGGCATTGGCAGATCACACGGTTTCTCCCACCGTACCTCATTTCCTAATAAGCAAGGTGCGGCGTAATGAATGTGAATTTTAAAACAGATGAAACGTGATTGACAATTGCATGACGAATTTGACTGTTTCTGTACAGTTGTGATGAGGTGAAAGGGCGTGAAGTATAGTAGCCTAGCTACGTGTTTCCAACGGGTTTTCGGTTTGCAGTTGTTACTTAACAATTATTCACCTAGCTGGAGAGGTGCAGGGTGTCCTGTATTTACATAGCTCACATCCGTGACCGGTATGTAACCATAACAAGAAAATGGCCCATGGGTCCCGTCACGATGTCCACAACCCAAACAACACGTGGAAGGGGAATGGCATGCCGAGGGTGTGCTAACAGTAGGCAAGACGCGCGCTGCTGATATTACGGGAAATGGCACGAAAACGTCCATGGCATGACGCAATATTAAGAAACCCACGTCACAACTCGATAACAAGGAATGGACTTGCCAGTCGGTGGAAGGCAAAACAAATACAAGTCCGTGGTATTTGCCTATAGGTTGCTATTAGGCTAGTTACCAGCACGATATTAACCTAGTAATACCCTACTAAAATTACTAGGGTATTACCAGAGGTTGGTCAGTGCTACCAGGGTTAATACCAAGCATTACTAGCCTATAAACAGGGGGCCCTATGCCGTAGGGCAAGGGTGGGTAGCCGGACTTTTTGCTCTTACTGCCAAATATTTTTCCTTCTCACCCCTCCTGTTACTGTCAATAAACTATTTTGACCCCTCCTGCCCCGGCGGCAAATTTGCGCCAGGAAAGTTACGGCCTTCCCAGGTCTTTCCGGCAAAAAGATAAACGCTCTTCCAGAAATTCAAGGGGTCGAGGTAAAGTGGTGGGAGGAGACGAGGTCGGCTGGGGTGATGGTTGAGATAAAGGGGGCTGGTGGGGGTGGACACGGTTAGGAGGTATTGGCTTCGGGAGGAAATGCTGGGAATCAGGGCCGGAGACAAGGGGTTTAGGGACCCTCACACTCCTCTATCCTCCCAAACCTTCAACTGTTGTTCCCAATGCGCTTCCGGCCTTCATGAGTGGTAATTGGGGCTGGGTTACAGCCGTTGTGGGGAGGCCCCCATATGGTTGACGCTAGCCACCAAGGGGCCCGGTAAATCCCGGGGCCCTGTGCTTGGGAAACCTCGGGATCTGCCGTAAAACGCTTTTAGTTGTAAACATTATCGGAAAGTTATTTCGTCTCGGTAAAATCCATTACCGACCAGCCAATTCTACCAAAGCCGGAACAGCATACAGTACTTGTCCTCCCGCATACGGACAGGACTCTTACGCTACCTCACGTTGCCCTGCCACACCTTTGGGCCCATAACCTCGGCCCCACTCATGGCGCCCATGCCATCATCTGGCAGTTGCCCATGTAACCGCTGTCGTGCGTCAGCGTCCGGAAAAAGTTGGCGTGCCCCACCACCACGATGGGCCGGTGCGCCTGGGACAACAGGAACTGCCGGAAGCGGTCCACGCGGGCCTGCACGCAAGACGAGGGGGACGGGCGCGCGCACATGCTCAATGGGCGTGCCCCCGATGCGCCACCTGTTAGTGGCTCGCTTCCTATTGTGCATGCAAGCGCCATGGTAAAACAAACCTAGACAGGCCTAGTTCAGGTTCGGAAGGTGGCCACGGCCCAAGGTCGCTTCCCATCGCACCTTGGAGAGCCTTTCTGGCTCTGTGCTGTTGAGCGCCTTGTTGATGGCGCAGTTTGGCCCGCGGCTGGCATTCTCGTACCACCAGCGCTCGCAGTGTAGCCCGTTGCGCAGGTTCTCAGCTATCTGCAACGGCAAAAAAGGATTGACTGGCACAAGCGTCAGCAAAGGGTAGACGAAGATTGCAATGAACGCTGAAACAACACACGTTTTTATTATGCTATAAGAAGACCGGGACCAAAAGGAGCAGCAGTAAACACGCAAGCTGCTGTCACCTCGCAGATAAGGATTATCATGACCGGCGCACCCACCTGGGGGTAGCTTTCAATGAGCACCGACCGCGGCCGCCCCACGTCGCCTGACGTCAGCAGGAACTCCGTTAAAAACCTGCGCAAAGGAGCAGAAGCAGAACAAGCAAGGATGGAAAAGCCAAGCCCAAGGGGAAGGGCCGCACTGGGGCCCAAAGTGGCAAGCAAGACACCAGCCGCTTCAGGCATTCCAGGCGTGCGTGACAGGACCACTACATTTGTCGTGAAAGTAGAGCGCCCAACTGCCCATGCATGCTATGAGAGAAGTGGCAACGTGACAGCCGATGTGCCTAGGTGTCAAATCCAACACATGTGGGCGCACGCTGGATGCTTACGGGCAGATGACAAGGTCGAGTGGCTTGGAGCTCACGTCCAAGTTGCAACCGCCACTTGACCCCGCCGCCGCCCCCTCCCTCGACCTGGCCGACGGCTGCGATGCCACCTTGGCGGGTATCTGCAGGCGCTGGGGGTCCGGCAGCATGTGCAAGAAGGTCTCGATGGCCCGTGACAACGGTGACACGATGAAGAGCGGGTCGCCGTGCTGCTGCATCAGATCAAGCAGCTGAGGCCGCAGGCCACGCGCCTGCAAACATGTAGCAGCGGAGAAGGATGCTAAGACGCTGTTAGTAAGGCATATCACGCAGGCCGGGTTCCAATGAAGGCCGTGGCGGTGCTCATGACAAGCTCCATACTAAGGGGGACTGCTAACCTGTTTCTCGCCAGTGGGCGTCAACCGTGCGTCGAAAATGTCGCTGGGGTCGCCAAAGCCGCCGCGCCTCTTGCATGCGAGATTGTACTCCGACTCGCCGTGCCGAATGAGGTGGATGGGCCGATGCTGAGGATGGGTACGTGGAAGGGACAGGAAGGCACTAGGATGGTGCTAATGAGAAAGAAACGTCCTTGGGAGAATCGTTTACTTCTAATACGGGGGACTGGGGAAGCCGGCCTGCTGCTAAAGACACCCACCTAGCGTATCACTATCCCAAGGGTTCGCACAAGCAAACAAACAAACCCATGCAAGCCATCCCCGACAACTCCTACCCGCCTGGCCACTCTCGCCTGCGTGAAAATGGAAAACATCGGTAGCGAGATTTGAGGCGGCGTGGTGCCGTTGTCCGCGACATCCCCTGTTGCCATCACCGCAACACACGAGACGCCTTCCCCTGCCTGCAGCTCTGGCGTCACGGCGGGGCCCGTGGAAGCATATGGCAACAGCGCGTGTGTACTGTGGGGGGGCAGATGGGCTGACTCGAAGTGCGCCGGCTGCTTCCCAGAGGGTCCTGCCTCCGCGTTGTTTCTCTGGTTTGACCCCTTGCCCTCAATGTTGTTGGCTTCCATCACGGAGGGATGCTCCGTGCAACCCATGCTGTTGACCAGGTAGGCCTCATGGGCGGGCGTGGAGGAAGAGGTAACAGGGACGCTGGAGCTATCCGCGACAGCCGCCGCAGCGGTTCTGACGTTGGAATCGTGCTTTTGACTGTAGTACTGCGTGGAGCTGGTGGCTTGGTAGTGTTGCGTGCGGCGCAGGGACAACTCCACATCCTGGCAGGTGAAGGGGTGGGCATTACGGGCGTTGAAGTTGTCATGCCTGTATACTACCATGGGCAGGGGGCCTAGGTATCGGCATGCGAGAGTACGGAGGGGGAACCTGGGGAGCCTGCAGGGTATGAGGGGACTCCCCCAGGTGCAAAGTTAAGGGAATGGGTAGTGGGCATGGTAGACACGCAACAAACTGCCAACGACACCTGTAACCTACGCCCTCACTCGCTTCAATAAGCGCGCTTACATCATAAGCTGCTGACTCGTAGCCTAAGCAAGGATCGGGCTGCGTCCGTTCATAGGTCTGGCTCGTGGAAATGATAAAGGCGTCGTCATCCTTGGTGAAAGCTGGTTCTTGTTGCCGCGGCTCAGCTGCACAATTGGGGATTAGGTGCTTAGATGTGCCTTGAAGTATGTAGCGTGGAGCTGCGCGGCAACTACATAAACCGTCGGCGAGTACATACCCCGAACCTCCGGCCGTCCTTCGGTGGAAGCATCCGTCAAATAGCTAGGCTGTTGCTTCTGAACAACGCGCAAAGGTGGAGAAGTAGGTTCAATGTTCAGTATTTCCATACGTTGTAAGCAAGGTGAATACCTGCTGGGTCCGGATGTGAAGTTGCCCAAGCTTTTGTAGTCCAGTCGTCGATATGATAGAAGGGTTGGGCTTCGCCTGGATCACAGGCGTCTCCTGCGTGAGGCCCATAATACGGAGCCATCGCAGCTCGCCACTTCGCCGCGACGAAGAGACCAGGGGATCGTTGACTTGCAAATGCGCACCTCAGCGTCTGCAGGGGTCCGCAGGAAGGGACCTAAGCTCATCTGCTTATGCCTTTTGCTGACAAATACTGATAGCTTGTCGCCCAGCCACAGAAATGCTGCAGGCGTCCCAAGACCTCCATCGTTTTGTCGCTTAAGGTTCTTTGCCATTTTGAGCAACGTATTAGGGGTGTTTCTATGGCTTATGGTTGGTTTCGGTCCGAATCCTAAGGCAACCTAAGGGATGCTCGTCCGATGCTCGTCCCACTAATACTTAGCTTAGTGCTGCTAAGTTGGTAAGTCCCGCACCAGCGTCCTGTTTCCATGGGACATAGGAATTTTGGTTTCTGGTCGTACCCCTTCCTATCCTTCGAACTTCCTACGGGGCTGTTTCCATGGAGTAAAGAAACGGTCGAGGGCACTCCCGGTCGAGGGCATATGAAAAAAACGACATCGTCGTACACCGCGGCCTTGGTCAACTCTTTCACCACGCACCGCAATCCCTGTATTCTTTAGGAAGCGGAAGGTACACTGGAGGACAGTAGCTGAGACCATCGTCAGACGTACATTCTAACAGGGCGTCGACCGCCCTACCCCAGGGGGCACGCCGTGCACAAGGCAGGGAACCATGCCCAACAGATACAGGGACAGGCAACTAGGTCCAAGAGAAACAACACAGAGAGGCTGCCAAACCAGCCCCCGATAGTCCGACATGCAGGCACTGCCAACCCAGCACCTGGAACAGGGGCCGGCAACCAGGGTCCCAGAGAAATGCGACACACAGATGCTGCCAAACCAGCACCAGAGAGATCGCGGCCCGCGACCACAGAAGCCGAAAAGAAACTGTCACGGAGAAGACTGCAGCAAGCCACCAAGGCATACCAAGCCCGTTAGTAGGAAGAGCGTCATTGTACGGCAGAGCTCATAAACATTTGGCGACACCAAGGCGCCTGGCACGTGAAACGTGGGTGCGTTGGGAACGGAAGCTGATCATCGATGTTAAGGGCGAAACCGCAACGCGGAAGGATGCAGGAAGACGGAGAGACCGTACTAACTGCAGATTGGACGGAGGAATACGGAGGGACCGCAATTGTGTGAGACGCCGCTGTGTTGTAAACGGGCCGCAGTGACAGAAAACGCATGAAGAAAACGGTGAAGAACATAATCTAATTGTGCGTAGGAAAAGAGGCGATGCCACAAGTGCAAAGCGGTTATACAACCAACTGTAGCCTCAGCCCCCTGACCTCTTTCCCAACATCTGCTACCCAGATCCCTTAGCGGTACCTGTTCATTTCTTAGCAATCCATACTGGGCGAAAGCAAGAGAAGGCAGTGCTAGGTGTGCGGCACATAGTAACGGTCGATGAACTGTAGCCTGCGGCTGTCCTTTGTGACTTGTTTGTGACACGCTACCGCCTCCCATCCCCTTTGCTTTGCCCTTACTGTGGTTGGCTCGCCCCGATTAGGGGCGTAGTCTTAGCGATCACGAAAAATAGTCCGGACCGAGGCGTTTTGTCCTTTTTGTACCGTGTCGGTGTCCTATGTTGTATCCCTGTACATTTTACATGTACCTGCACCGAGGTCCCTAATTCGGTCGGACAAGGTGGCGTTGTATTCGTTCGCAGCCTCAGTCGCTCAAGCGAGCTGACACCTTCGCGCAGCTTCCTTTGTCGTAGAGGGGGACAACTGAAAACGGTATGCAATTGTCAGAGTGCAGCAACCGCCACCGTACAGTGTGCTGACTTTGAGTGGGCGCCTCCGAGCGCCTTCCTAATGGGCCCGTTCTATTGCTCTGTCTGCCTGGGCACCGCCTAGGAAAGTCGCCCAAACTACCCCGCCCTGCGGCCTCTTGTGTAATTAGGGCCCGTGGGTCTCGCTCCCATACCTCTCTTATGTCGCCGTGCCTCCCCCGCCCCATGACCTGCCGCCTTCCTTCCAGCTCACAGCTTAATGTCCCCGCGTTACTACTATCCGGGGAAGACTGACCCCCTCCCAACGACACTGCCCCGCAGCCTCAGAAAATGCATGGCCAACGTTGCCTCGTGCTGGTGGCACGGTCATCTGTCCATAGCTCCATACCGGTAGCCTGACCAAGCGCGCCCTGACGTGGGGGAGGATATTGCATGTCCTCTGCTAGACCGCTAATGTGCTGCTAGGCCCCTGCTGGATGGCCAGCCGTCCGCTGCTTGGGTGGCGATGCAATGCGGGCCGGAAAGCTGCCACTTGCTAGGCGTGCCATGAGCCGTGGGGAAGGGCGCGGCATGCCCTCTGCGGGGACTGTGATGCACTGCAGGGAGGTAAGCTGCCCCTGATCGGCATGCAGACGTTATTCGGCCAATAATGTGCGGGTTGAGAACGCCGGAAGGCTCGCTGACCATGCTGTGGAGTCCGTGTTCTGCGGGCTGGTAAGCTGCTCGGGCCGTCGGGGAGATGCCGTTGTACTCCCTCTGTTAGGCTGTGATTGGGATGCGTGCTGACCGCTGCTAGGGAGGCAGAGACAGCGGACAGGCAATGTGCCGCGGTAGAGGACACTGCCCCTTGCTGAGGCTGCAATATGCAGATGGCGCAAGCTGCCGCTGCCGGGCCTGTAATGCGCTGCAGGACAGAGCGCTGCCTGCTGCTAGGTCTTGTATTGCGCTGGAGGAACTACCCCGCCTGTTTCTAGGCCGGCACTGTGCGGGGAAACACGGCCGCACGGTTGGTACTGTGCTGCGGGAGGGAGCTGTGCTAGCTGCTAGACCAGCGATATGCAAATGGGATGCCAGCCACCCCTGGGAGGCGGATATCGATGCTTCGCGGGAAGGCGAGCCGCCCTCTGCTAGGGTGGGGGCATGCGCTGCGACAAGGTGAGCGGCCTCTGTTAGGGTTCAGTGCGCCGTGGAAGCAATGCTGAAAGCGGTGCTGCCGGTTGCTATGGGCCCTGCGCTGAGGAAAGGCGAGCCGTGCCTGCGAGGGGCCGTGTGCTGATGAAAGACGAGCCGCGCCTGCTAGGGGCCATGTGCTGAGGAAAGACGAGCCGCGCCTGCTAGGGGCCATGTGCTGAGGAAAGACGAGCCGCGCCTGCTAGGGGCCATGTGCTGAGGAAAGACGAGCCGCGCCTGCTAGGGGCCATGTGCTGAGGAAAGGCGAGTCACCTCTTCTGGGGGTCCCAAGCGCTGCAGGAAAGCGAGCAGCCCTGGGGGGCAATGATGCTGACGGAAGGCGAGTCACCCTTGCTAGGAAGGCAATCCGTCGCTGGAAAAACTGCAGCTCTCGCTAGGGGGCTATGTGGTGCGGGTAAGGTAGCCATCCCCTGCTAAGCGGCCATGCGTCGCGGGGAACGGGAGCCGCCCCTGCTGGGTGTCTCCTGCGCTGCTGGAGAGGCGAGCCGCCCCTTGCTAGGGGGGGGGGCATGCGCTGCTGGGAAGACGAGCCGCCCGCTGCCAAGGGCGCCATGCGATGCGGGGAAAGGCGAGCCGCTCTCTGCCGGGGGGGGGCTGCCTGCCCTGCTGGACAGACGAGCCACCTGCTGCTAGGGGGCTGAGTGCTGCTAGGGGGGCTGAGTGCTGCGGGCCGCCCGCTGCCGCAGTGCTAGGGAGTCATGCGCTGCAAGCAAGACAAACCGCCCGCTGCTAGGGGGCCATGCGCTGAGGAAATGCTGAGCCGTGCACTGCTAGGGAGTCATGCACTGCAGGAAAGACGAGCCGCCCGCTTTTAGGGGGGGCCATGCGCTGCGGGAAGGCGAGCCGCCCCCTGCTAGGGGGGGGCATGCGCTGTTGGAAGACGGGACGGCCCTGCTAGGGGTCTTCTTGCGCTGCTGGGATGACGAGCGGCCCCCTGCTAGGGGGGGGCATGCGCTGCGGGGAGGATGCCCCCAGGCGCCACGAGATACATGAGCCGCCACTTGCGCTTCTGGGAAGACGAGCCGCCCACTGCCAAGGGTGCCATGCAATGCGGGGAAAGGCGAGCCGCCCCCTGCTGGGGGGGTCAAAGACCATACCCCCCTGCTGGGGGGGGGCATGCCATGCTGGACAGACGAGCCACCTGCTGCTAGGGGGGCTGAGTGCTGTGGAAACGGCGGGTCGCCCGCTGCAGCACGATAAAAAAAAGGGTACCTGCTGCTAGGGGGGCTGAGTGCTGCTAGGGGGCTGAGTGCTGCGGGCCGCCCGCTGCCGCAGTGCTAGGGCGTCATGCGCTGCAAGCAAGACAATCCGCCCCCTGCTAGGGGGCCATGCGCTGAGGAAATGCTGAGCCGCGCACTGCTAGGGAGTCATGCACTGCAGGAAAGACGAGCCGCCCGCTTTTAGGGGGGCCATGCGCTGCGGGAAGGCGAGCCGCCCCCTGCTAGGGGGGGGGGTATGCGCTGTTGGAAGACGGGACGGCCCTGCTAGGGGTCTTCTTGTGCTGCTGGGATGACGAGCGGCCCCCTGCTAGGGGGGGGGCATGCGCTGCGGGGAGGATGCCCCCAGGCGCCACGAGATACATGAGCCGCCACTTGCGCTTCTGGGAAGACGAGCCGCCCACTGCCAAGGGCGCCATGCAATGCGGGGAAAGGCGAGCCGCCCCCTGCTAGGGGGGGGGGCGCATGCCCTGCTGGACAGACGAGCCACCTGCTGCTAGGGGGCTGAGTGCTGAGGAAATGGCGGGTCAAAGTGCAGGTCAAAGTAGACATGCACAGCAGAGTGTTGCCTGAGGCGTGTGAACTGGAGGCCGCTGCCCCAGCCCTTGGGCGGCAAGTCCATGCCGCGCGCGCGAGTCCGAAGAGACGCGAGACTGGCTCCTAAGGAGACTAAAAAGCGCTTACTGAAGCGAGCCACATCGACAACTTTCAGGTTAGGGAGAGCAGCATCGAATCGGAGTCGCCGCATGCCGCTTGTGCGCAACTCGTCAGAAATCGCAGGAAGAAATTGAGGAACATCTACAGTAGGTTCTTGTCGAGGCCGGCTGCGAGCCGGTCGCGACGGAGGAGCGGCAGACATGGTGGTTTACATAGCTTAGAGGATAGTAAGGAGCATTATTAGCATTAGCATTGTAAGTAACGGATATTTAGGAAGCGGAAGTTACACTGTCCATGCCAGTGGTGGCCATGCTGGTGTCACCAAAACACTTCATCTGGTGCGGCGCACATTTTGGTGGCCCAAGGTTCATGTTGACGTGCGAGACTATTGCAAGTCGTGCGATAGCTGTCAACGTATGAAGCCTGAGCATGTTCTGTCGCCTGGTAAATTGCTGCCTTTGCCTATTCCGGATCGGCAGTGGTCTGTTGTTACCATGGACTTCGTTACCGACCTGCCTCCGTCTCAGGATGGGCATGGTTACACTGCGATTTATGTCTTTGTTGACAAGCTCACTAAGATGGCACATTTCGTCCCGTGCTATACAACTGACGATGCCGAGAAGGTTGCGCAGTTGTTCGTTAACA